ATTTTCGGGTGACTTTTCCTACAAAAAAAAAGAGTTGAAGCTGAGGGTGTTTCTTCGCTTCTTGGAGTGCGGTTGAGCCGTTGGGGGACTTCGCCTGAAGGGTCACTTTTAAGTCGCCTGGCAAGAAACACAGCGGCGGGGATACCTAGAACCCACTGGTGTTTAAACGTACACCGCGGGAAATTCTTCAGTAAAAGGGAGCGTGGGAGCAGCCGAAGTTTCGGGATTTACCTGCCGGTGACGAGCGATGAGGTGAACCATCGCAAAGCGCCAGTGGGAATTTGCGCGGTTTTCAGTTAAACTTCAAAGGCGGGAGCAGTTGTCGAAATATTTTGTCATGTTTTATAATTGCTTGTAGTTGTAGTTAGTGTAGTTATGTAAACTTTTGTTGGTGGTGCACCTTATTTTGTTTCTATGCTATATGTACCCCTGAACCTATAGTGAAACCACCTTTTCACCAATTACTCTCTCAACTCACTCGACATCGCTCCTAAGGAAAATACCGCTCGATACCTAAGTTCGGGCCTAGGCTACTAAGCCTAGGCCCCACCTTTTAACTCTTCATTTCTATTACTCTCGACAGCAGTTTCGACGACGGGTCAACGGCGTTGATGCCACTAGGTTCCGTGAATTCGGTCTCGGAATACCCAGGTCTAGTCCCCAGTTCTAGATTATTGCCCCAGATGGGTTCTGAACTGACGGAAACAGCTGGTGACCGAGTGGGCGGCTATAGTACGACCGGAGATTTCGGAGGAGAACTGCAACTGCAAGTGCGGATTTTCAGGGCTGTGTTCAAACGACATATTCGGAGTTTACGCGGGACTTCACAAGTTTTACGGCGAGAAGCGGCGACAATTTCGCAGGAGAATTCGGCGTTTGGTTAAACGCGCGCGACATTTACGCAGGGCAACACTGCAGGAACTACACGGAGTTTTCAAGGGGTACAAACGACTTACGACGAACTGAAGAAGGCGGCAACAACAGTGAAGGGGGGAGGAGACAGCTGTAAAATTTCATCCCTGCCCACGAACTCTCGGCGCATTACGACAAACTTCTCGGTGATTCCATTCCAACTCTGCTTCTGCCAACTCGCCTTCGACCCGCCCACGACAACTGAAATCATTTCAACCACGTCAGGTGCTGCCAGCTGCAGCTGCTGAAGATATCGCCTGATTTTCCGGCGATGTGAAGACAAAACAAATCCATTTCGAGCAACGTGGATTTTCCGTCGCGGTTTCTGGTCTACTTCCGCTGGTTCACCCATGAGGAATTTTGGGGCACATACACCTGGTGTCGTCATCTAGTTTCCACACCGACACGTTTTCACCTTGTCCCCTACGCTCAACGCTCGTTTTCAGTGGGACTTAACACCTGGTTCTGTTGGGTTTTACTTCGGCGCAGCTTTGAAGATTCTGTGGACAGTTTTCTTGGAGTGGGAGAGAAAGTGCACTGCACTATTCTTTCCTTGGCGTTTTTCTTGGTCCTTACTGAGTTTGTCAGGTTGCGTCAGCACGACGGACGATCGCGATCACACCGACACGATCAACGGTCCCTGCTCAATCGTGTTTGAATTCGCGTCAGCAGGTTCCTTCTCTTTTCGCGTCAGTCTTCGACCGTCAGATCTACACCTGCTCGATCTACGGCCCACATTCCAAATTCTACTTCATTTTAGGCAGTTCATCTTCGACCGTCAGATCAAAATCGGACTTCATCAACGGCTTACATTCCAACCTTTTCAAAACTATTATCAAAGGTATTTCGGCCGTCGGATTCAGCTAAGGAGGAGATCTACAGAATCCTTGCTAGTGTGGGGCCTGTTTCAGTACAGGGCTGCCTTATTTAGAAGGTGGGAGAGTGTAAGGATTTACAAATCCTTACTGAGGCACTCGTTAGCGAGGCCATCCCGAGGGTCACGCGACGAACCTGACCTTCCTATTTCGTCGCACCGAACCACTCCCGAGTCGGCCTCCGCTCCAATCGCAACCATCACCAAGCCATCCCATCCTGACCCCCCCGCCTAGCTAGATTTTCCCTTATTTAAGCCTCGCTACCGTCACCCCCCGGATATACCCCCATGGGGGGCTATAATATAACATGTTTTTTTGAGGGGGTGGGCTTATAATATAGTAAATTTATAAGCGCCAGCGTTTATAATTTGTCAAAATTGAATTTTGTTTTTAAATATACCAAATCGAAGCATTCTCAAAGGCGGATTCACCTGGGTCGAGAACGTTCGAAACTGTGCATGCATTGCGCGTGAAACGGCCAACAAGGCGTGGCTTCACGCCTTCCACGCCTTGTTGGCCAGGCCAGGTTCATCGAACGTGAACCTGGCCCATGCCAGTGCACACGTACCTCGCATCACAGCGGCCCAATCAGGGTTGCATTCGATCGTGGGCACGTCGTGGTTCAGCCACGGTGTGCCCATCAACAGCAAAATTCCCCGCCACCGAGGCAAGGAGCTGCCCAGCTCAGCTCCTCTGCGGGGAATCTTGACTGGGGCCACCCTTTTCCCGCAGAGGAGGCCGGGCCGCGAAAATGAAGGGGTCTCGGGCGAGGGCTTCATACAACCCTCATTCTCGACTTTTGCCTTCAGTTTCTTTGTTCGTTTGGCCTGCCGTGGCCATGGCGGGCCTTCCACGCACGCATTTCTTCTTCCGCCGCCATCCTGCTGCCAGAGAAAACACTCGCCGAGACACCTGTGACTACTCTCAATGGCAGTCGCGCCCTGCGCCCGTCCCTCCGTGTCAACCAGTAGCTCCTCCCGTTCCTCCCACTCCTCCAACTCCTCCTGCACCTCCCGCTCCCCCGGCGCCTCCGGTTCCTCCAGCTCCTCCGTCCCCTCCTGACCCTTGAGGATTTCCCTTCAGGTGAGCATTAACACCCACTGCTGCATGTTTTTTTTTTTCAATGTCTACTGATGTTGTATGTGCGTTTGTGGCTGTGCAGATGTTACGGTGTCCGTCCATCCCAACGGTTGGATGGACGCGGACGGAGTCATTGAGTGGCTCGACGGGGCAGTGAAGCCGTTCGTCCACACCAAGTTTGGAGTGAGGCCCCGCAAAGCGATGCTCGTCTTGGATTCGTACCGCGGGCACCTGACTGCGGAGGTGAAGAAGAAGTTCGGGGAGCTGAACATCGTCCCTGCCGTTATCCCAGCTGGCTGCACCTCGGAGATTCAACCTCTGGACGTCGCGGTGAATCGCTCCTTCAAGGCATCCGTTCGACAGCTCTACCAGGAGTGGTTCGAGAGCGAGGGGGTCGACAACTTGACAAAGAAAGGTGAGAGAGGCAGGCCATGCCTGTGCTGCTTTATCAGTTTGTAGCGGTGGCTGACTTTTGATTGTTTAAATCTTATGGCAGGCAACATCAAGAAGCCACCACCCGAGCTAACGCTCAAGTGGATATCAGCGGCTTGGAAGGCCGTGCCCAGGGACTTGATTCAACGGGCTTTCCTCACCTGTGGCATTAGTAACGCCCTGGATGGGACCCAGGACAAGATCTGCCTGCAACACAGGCGCGACGAGCTTGAGGGCGACGAAATAGACATCGACGACGACATTGCAGCAGATGGCTTTTTCTGCAACAATGTAGAAGAACCAGAGTCGGACTCTGAGGCCGACCCGGATGATCCTACCGCAGCTGATGACTAGATTACGTAGATCTAGAAATTGCTGTAGCCTGTGAGACTCGTAGGTAGATTTAGAACTGTAATTAGAAAAAACTGTAGATAAACTGACTTTGTATTTAATTAGATGAAAATATAAGTTGTTAATGTGGTTAGTGAAGTTTGTAGAAAAAAAATATTTAAAAAAGTGGCGGTTATAATGTGTAAGGTACAGGTATGCGGTTATAATCCGTACGACTCTAGGGTATGCGCTTATAATCGAGGAGGGGATATAAGCGCCATATGCCAATTAGAAGCGCCAGGCGCTTATCCTAGGGTGGCGCTTATATCCGGGGGGTGACGGTACTTCATTGTTTCTGATTCAGTGATTTAGTAATTCTCATTCTCGTTATTCGATATTCTGCGCACTCTGCAAGTTGATTCATAACACAACCACTGATGATGTGGTCACCATGCTGAAGGCGATCTCAGATAGCTATGGCCTTAGCCCTGGATTTCGGACAGCTTAGCTTTATTTCTTAGGTTGCAAATGCGCTAGCGTATGCTGAACGTGTTCAAATCTTTTTTCTGTGCGGGGCCCTTGTAACGAGCGATTCAGCTCGGGCTTCTATCAAGGACGGCCATTTTCCGAGTATGGCGCTTTCGCAAGAAGTTTCTCCAACACGAAAAGCTTCGCAGCGAAGCCAGAAGCTCAAGCCGTTTTTTCGCCGAATCGCACAAATCAAGTACCCCTCCGATTGGAGCAATCGGAGCCGTTGAGGGACTAGCATCCACACGAAGAAGGCATTCGACATTGCAAATTTCTCGCGAAAGCACGCCTCACCGACACCTTCCCCACCAACATTTCCTTGTTTCAGTGCTGGAATAGCAATCCCCCCAGGCAAACCCCCTCAGTAGTGATGAGCCAGTCTGGTGGTAATTTCAGCCTCCCTTTCCACACTTGTTGCCTTGCTGGCATAACTTCTTTTCCGTCGTATCTACCTTCCCACAACGAAAAGAACCATGGCGCTAGGATGGATACTTTGTACTTATACTGGCGTACGTGGTTCCTACTTGGTACCTAAACCAACACGCAGCGACTTTCTGAAACAACTCGAGTCGTCACCAGCATCTCTGTTTGTGCACGCTTTTCAACAAACGCTTTCCTAGCAGCTCGAAATACGACAATCTAATCTTCAATGATGGCGCGTGTTAGCAAGGCTGTGGTATTTCTCGCGCTCCTAGGCCTCGTCGCATCAGGTAAGACTCCAGCGGCGAGGCCAACCTTTTCTTGCATCCCATATGTGTCATGCTCAGCACGACGCGACCACGTGGAGGATGATTCATTTTTGGAGGATGATTCATTTTTTTATTTTTCTAAGCTGTCGTCAGTATGCTCTCGTTTCAGGGGTTTTCGCCCAGGGACCCGGCTATGGCGGCGGCAGGGGTGGCGGAGGGCGCGGTGGACGGGGATTTGGCGGGGGACGCGGAGGGGGCGGCAGGGGCGGCGGGCTCGGACGGGGACCTGGTGGGGGCCTTGGACTGGGCCCTGGCGCCGCTCTGGGCACGTTCTACGGCCACGTGGAGGCTGATCTGACGGGCAACGGCAACATCACTGGACGCATGCACGTTGTTGTCTTCAAGTGAGTGCCATTCACGAGCATACTTCAGGCTTAGTACTATGCTCTCAATGAAGCACTTGTCGTTCCGTGATTTCTCCGTTCTTGTGCGCTTTTCAACGTGTCATTCGTGCTTCCAATTCGTGCTTTTGATGTGTTGGTCAGGAACAACACCGACTACAATGTCCGTTACGTGCTGAGGATTGGCGGCCTGCCAACCCCAGGTCTTCCTACCGCTGCCGCCGTCCTGAATAGTAACGGCGACGCTGTCCTTGATTTCCCCGATGCCACGTGGACCAACACCACTGGCCAGCAGCCTTATGGCTACGGCTGGAGGAGGCGCAACCGCGCATGGGTCTTTGGTGTGTGTTTCCGTTACAATGCGACCGGGGTTTATTACAACGCGAACACAAAGACTACTGATGGCGGCAAGACTATTGGGTCTATTGCTGTGGCCATGGTTGCCGCTCCTGCAGCTTATAGTGGCCGCATCACTGCTCCTGGTGGCGTTGCTTCTGGCAAGTTCCACACCTGGCGTTAGAGATTTGCACGTGGAATGGGTGAGTTAGGGATGTATTGCTATAAGTTTTGCACCTTTTCGCCAGTCAGATGCTAAGCCTGGAGTGGGTGCGAAGCTTATTGCATTTATCTTTAGTTGATGGGTGTGGACTCTGTGTCCAGCGAATATCTAGCAGGAAAAACATGTGTTTGTGCTTGCAGTGTTAGCAACATTTTCTTCCTAAAAATGTGTAACGAGCGTTTCAATCGTGAATGCTCGGCAACAGCCCAACGAAAACGAGAAGGGTCGAACCATCCAACGCAAACCCAGCCAGCTGGGCGGAACAAGCACTGCCACTCGCACACTGCTCGTTCGTGCCTGAAGTCGGATTCCATATCCACACGCAGCGTGTTGCCGCATATGCTTCCACCCCAAACTGTTTTGGCTGCACACCGCACCACATTGTCAGGTTCCTCTATTGCGCAGTAACCATGCATCGCAAAGTCGTCGTTAGACTCGTTTTCGCTCGTGAGCTAAATATCCGTCGCTGACCAGCAAATGTCTGGTTGCACTTGTAACATGCCAGCGAGGCCTACAAACCGTCAAGGAGAACAAACTGGCCACGGCAAAATTCACGGTTGCCAGTCAAACTCTCACAAGGACGGTGGGCCGGTTCTTATCATAAAAAGCCAATGCACTTGTAAACTATCATGGGCGCTGCCAGCTGTGCGGCAGACGCGCCTGTGGGAAGACTGGTGGTTGCAGCGCCTCAGCGTCTGCGACTCGCACGCAGGAAAACGGCAGGCGCCGACAATAGTATGGGAGCAAGCCTCTGACAAGTTATGGCGGGTTTGCGAGTTCCGGAGCTGCTGCCGCATGTTAAAAAGCGGCAAGCACGCTGTCGATGGCGGAAAGCGGGTGTCCGGCGAATTTAGCATCCCCTATTCGATCATTTGAGCGTCACTTAATCGCTTTCGTTGCTTATCTGCCCCACCGGGTTGATTGACTGTTGGAGAAGAACAACCATCATCAGGTTGCACACACCTTGTTTCGCCGTCTGGTTGTTGCTATTCGTCTACGCATCCATAGCAGGTGAGGACCAATCCGACGTCCGAAATAGAATGTTATTGCCCGGAGTTTTTGTAGCTATCCACCATATCCTTAGCTGCGAGCTTTAATGACCTCGCATTGACTTCGCCAATGCATTCTGTGTCCTTACAGAGGGCGTACGCGTGCTGGACGATGCCGCTGCATCACAAAAAACCCGGCACAGCCCTTGGAGTTTCCGAGGGTCACTCAAGCTAGCATTAGATAAATTTTGGGTTCGTCGGATTTCCAGCCGATTTCTAGCAGAAATCCGCTGGATTTCGTACGGATAGGCCTGTGCGCAACGTAGTGCCGTATCGACGTTCGTTTGTCGATTTAAACAAGGTTTCTCTTGATCATTCATGCATTTAGTGTCTTTGCAAGCATGCTGGACATATTTGGTATCAACCGCAGCACGTGGTAGGAACATACGGCGATCCAAACTATTGAGCAGGGAAAACTATGCAAGAATAGGCCTGTGCGCAACGTGGTGTCGTATCGACATTCGTTTGTCACTTTAAACAAGGTTTCACATGATCATGCATGCGTTAACTATATTTAAAAGCATGCTGGACAGATTTGGTGTCATCCGCATTACGTGGTAGGAAGATATGGTGCTTCAAACAATATAGCAGGGAAAACTGTGCAAGGATATGTTGTCATGATGTGATGTTTGTGTTAAGAGGAATGGAGTGTTGGCCCCGCCCTCGCTTGGGCAACGCCGACGACTTGGCCGGATGTACGGGAGTAGCAACCGACCGTTCACAGTGGGAGAGTTCATCGACAGGCATCGTCGAGCTGCAGGGAACCGCTGTGGTGATGCTGTCGACCAGGGAGCTCGACAGCTGCAACTGTCTGGTCTGGGCGACGGATGGGACGTCGACTTGGAGGGGCAGTTCGACCGGGAGGTCTCCGTCGACCTGCAGCTCGACCAGGGGGTCCCCGTCGACCTGCAGCTCGACCGGGAGCAGTCCGTCGATCTAAAGCTCGACCGGGAGCAGTCTGTCGACCTGCAGCTCGACTGGGGGATTCCCAACGAGGCAAGTCGTGCCAATCGTCTGCGCACACCTGCGAGCGTGCACACTGTTGTGTTCTATGGGGCAACGCTGGACAGCCGCTCTGCTGCAGCGTTGGCACGCCGTCGACCTGCTCCGTTGGCAGGTCACCTTTCTGCAGTGCTTGCGCGGCTCCTCTACGCAACGCTGGCAGGCAGTCGACCGAGCTGTGCTGGCGGTCGACCAGGCTAGCAGCAGGGTTGCTAGGTGCATGATGTAGTCATTGTTGTGATTGCTTGTTCCATCATTATGGAATTCCAACTTTGCTAGTCGAAAATCTTGCCGATTTCTCTTGTGAATGTGCAAGCACTAAGGAACCAAGCAAATCTACAATCACCTCTAGTAGTTTGTGCCAACCCCGTAGTCTAGATCACTACCATTGTAGAGTGATTTTCCGCAGTTTGTGTAGCATACACTGGGGTACTCACTAGCGAGTACAGCCCGAATTAGGGTTTGCTATATTAATCTCAACTGCTGCTAGTGAAAATCCTCTTTCATGTTTCTTGATTCTTGCCTAGTATTCTTAATACATGTCTCTGCGACACGAGGTGCTGTTTCGACGTATGTTTATTTCAAATGTTAAGAGCATACTACTGCGCACAAGTATATAACAGTATATTTTCGTCAGTATTTGTGATACTTGACGGGAATTAGAATAAGGGGATCTTGGATCATAGAGATTAGTACCAGTACAACTCTCTCTCTTTTTCTCACACACTCTCTCTCTCTCTCTCTCTAACGCTCGCTCTCTCTCTCTCTCCCCACCCCCCCCCCCCCCCCTCTCTCTCTATATATATATATATATATCTCCCTCTCTCCCTCTCTCTCTCTCTCTCTACTTGGAATGACATACACTGCGGTTTGGCGAAAACCGACATGTGGGACAAGTACATCATACTCTTGTTGACAGAAATTTGTTATTCGCCAATCAACATTATGTGGCAATCTATTGCAACGATTATCTCAGCAAATTATTTTTCAAGAGGAAAGACATATATAGATACATTTACGTTACACAATCAATGCTATTGTCTAAATTCTCCATGTATCCATACTATGAAAGAGCATGAGACTATTTCAGTCTGGAATGCTTAAAATACAACAGCAACTATGTATATGAAAATTAGCAGAAGTTATGGCTGAAATAAGTTTCACTAGGCTAAAACGGTACATATTTGTCACAGTTTGTGATACTTTGTGGGAACAATAGGTTGGATCTTTATTACGCACGGTATAGTACCGAGTGTTATATAGATTCGCATTTACTGTAAACTATTTGGGATGGTGAGGTAAGACAGGCCACCGCATTGGTCATTCCAGCATATTCTAGCGAACACGTCATCGTAGATGTGTTCGACAATTGGTGGATATCTACATCACACACCTTGTTGGCGAGTTGTATCGTTGTAATTGGTCCTTTCTCGTCGTCGCTTACTGGGCATCGTGGTGCTGATCTGTACATCAAGCGCACTTGCGCTTGATTACAATCTACGTGCAGCTGCGCAATTGCTATACAGCAGCTGCGCAAGTTGCTGCAAATTCGCAGCTGCGCTGGTGCACTGCATCTGCGCATTTGTACAACTGCCAACTGCGCAGCTGCTGCAACTGCCAACTGCGCAGCTGCTGCGACTACCATCAGCGCAAGTGCTGCAAGTGCCACCTGCGCACCCTCCAGCGCTGGAAAAGCCTCCAGCGCACCCGCGACCTCCAGCGCTGTTGGACCTTCTTTCCCCCTACCCACCCAGCAGAATCAACAGCCACTCCAGCCCATCATCCCTTCACCCTCACCTCGCGTCCCATACCTCACACCTCTCTTCCCCGTTCACTTGGCATCGACTTAGTAGTACCTCCCTTACCCCCCCTTCTACGTTTTCCTCGGTTTCAGCCGCCCTCGACTACGCGACTCCTGCCTAATCGACTGTTTCCACCAGTCACTATGTCTATTATCAGGTACGCAGCCGTTAGTACTTCTTGGTTTTGTGTTTTTGTTATGTCATTCATTTCTGGTAGTGCTCGTAATGACCTCTTTTGCGTTGCGTTTTCTCCGATGCAGAAATGATTAATGCGGAAAAGTTTATGAATATGTCCGGGTTGATAGACACTTTTCGTGTTATCAACCAGAAAATTATAGATAGTCGTTCGCATTTTATTTAGTTTTCATTTCGTTCCCTCTTTACCAACCAACGTCCTTTGTGTTTGATTTTGCAGACCACCATGTCAAGCTTTTTTCGATCTCGAAAGTCAAATTCTTCGACGCCATTGCACGTACGTATTTACGTGATCTGCTTTGTTTTTCTACTAACTACGCCATTCCATTCCTTCTGCAGCAACAGTAAGTGTGGCTGCGTCCTGGACTGGAGCAGCAGTAGCAGCAGGAGCAGCAGCAGCAGCAGGAGCAGCAGCAGCAGCAGGAGCAGCAGCAGCAGCAGCAGCAGAAGCAGCAGCAGTTGCAGCAGCAGCAGTTGTAGCAGGATCAGGAGCAGCAGCAGCAGTTGCAGCAGGATCAGGAGCAGCAGCAGCAGTTGCAGCAGGATCAGGAGCAGCAGCAGCAGTTGCAGCAGGATCAGGAGCAGCAGCAGCAGTTGCAGCAGGATCAGCAGCAGCAGCAGCAGTTGCAGCATGATCAGCAGCAGCAGCAGCAGTTGCAGCAGGATCAGCAGCGGCAGCAGCAGTTGCAGCAGGATCAGCAGCAGCAGCAGCAGTTTGCAGCAGCAGCCAAGATTTTTTTTTTTTTTTTTTTTTAATGTTTTGGAACTGTCAGAACATTATAGCTTACTTATTTGTGTAGGCTATAGTGGGGTATCCCATAGGGGGTACAACCTAATTAGGGTTTCATATTTGTACTGACTTCATTCATAGTTCATTTCATTCAAGTTCCTATTTTCACATGGAATCAGAGGA